CTTATATGCTAGGCAGATTTTGTATCCTGATAAACTGGTTGCATTTGGATTATTTTGCATAGTTCAATTTTGGGCTTCTTTTTAGAGAAGTAAACAAGAGATTCGTAGAGCCTTGGGAGCATTTCTTGACTTGACCACTTATGAATCAGAAAAATTCAAACAAGACATACATTCTCTTTTCTTTAAGATCCAAACTTTACCAACTTTTAGAAATGTTGTATCAGAATGAGTAGACTTACAGGCTTAGGCCTAGCCATGATGAAAAAGTGGCGACACACAGTGAGGTGACAGGACAATTGTCACCCTTTTGTACTTGCATCCTAACATCAGATACAAGTACATAAATCATGGTGTTTGAATCAGAACACTTGTTTTGTCATTTGGCCTTCCTTTGTCCGTGTGTGCACCTTCAAGCCCGGCTTGACTCCTTGTGTCTCCTGGGATAAATCCACGCAGTTTTCTTGGCAGGGTTTTTGCAAGTGGTCTTTGTAGGGCTGAGAGAGAGAAGGACTGGCCCAAAGTCACGTAGCTGACTTCATGTCTAAGGCAGCACTAAAGCTTACAGTCTCCCAATTTCCAGCCTGGTGTCTTTAACCGGCACACCATAATGGCCCTCTTGTCCTTCCTTGCCTCCCTGCCTTTCCTTTGCTTGTAGGACACACATTCCCCCAACTTCAAGATTCACCAGAAAAAAAATGGTAGCTTAAGAGCCAAGCAACTGATGAAATGACAGCATATGGGGAAAAGCTACTCATTGTTAATACCTGCATGCCCTAATGATCTTTACACTAGGGGACGTGCCTGTATGGAAATACAAATAGCATCTCAGTTATACAATTAAATCCTACAAAAATGCAGAAAGGTCATGAAAATGAGTCCCTCCCTCCTTCCATCCCTCCCTCCCTCCCTTCCTTCCTTCCTTCCTTACTTGGAAAACAGAAAGAAGCAGTTGAATTGAGGGAAATTTATTGAGTAATACATAAAACTTTCCTCTTCTCACCTCATTTTCAGAAGGAGAAATGTATATAAAATTGCCTCCTTGGATGGCTAATTTCCTTGCCATCTAGGAACAGAGTGCCTCAAGCCATTTCCCCCAGCATCCTTGACTAAATCTTTTCTCCCTCTTGGCACACCAGCCATGCAGTTCAATAGTGCTTACTGATGTCCCCGCCCTCCCCTTCTGCACTCCCCTTGGCCTTAATTATCTTTTCATCTTCTCTCCTTGATACATTGGCCAGTCTCAGAAAGCCAGTAAACACAGAAAGGCCTGGAAAATAATGTTTTCTCCTGGCCTTTGTTGTCTCAAGATGTTCTTCCTCCCCTCAGCAGCTTCCCTGCGCATGAGGCTTGTATGGGATTTGAGTAGAGGGGAAGGTGGCTGGGGACCAATGTGTTTGTGCTCACGGTTTGCAGGGTGAGATACAATCAGTGAAGGAGAGGTGGGAGCCCTGGAAAGTGTCTAACAAATCCTTTCGTTGCGTAGATAAAGTGGGGAAGAGCAGGACTGTCATGACTGAAGGCAGTCGACTGGGAATTTGCAAGAAATATCCTGCCCCCTCCACCTGTCATGTGTTATGGAGAAAAGCCAGTGTGGGAATCTTTTAATCTATTTTACTAGACTGTGTTTTAGTTATGTCATATTTTGAAATGGCTGGCTTCTATTCCAAGGCCTTGAAACAAGGCAGGATCCACTGAGCCCTCGTAAGCCTCCCTCCGTGTTAGAATTTTTGATGTCTGTATCATAGAAGAGCATGAGGAAACTTTGGCTGTTTTTTCCCTCTCTGATTCCTGGCTCTGTTTATGCACTTTTCTTGAAAGGAAGAGTTCAGTAAGACGCATCTGTTGTTTTTAGATCTCCTGTATCCTGCCAGGAGGTAGGCTGTTGGCCAGTACCTCCAACAGGTGGAATTCCTTTGAAAGAACGGGGAAGATCAGAATAGCCAGCCTCCTATTCTAACTTAGTACCGTGTCTTTGGAAGCCACAGCATGGTTTTTCAGAAAGCAGCATGAAACTCTGAGCAAACAGGGAATCCTTCTATAAACGTACAATAGTGTTTACTGGTATTTATTAAGATCATTATAACCTGAATTAGAAAAGAATCCTCAGCTGAATTTATTTTGCATCAAGAATCTGGGTTTATTTTTATATCACTTCCTCGATTCTTATTTGTAGCAGTTGATTTCTTACAAAGTGCTGTGGTCTGTGTGCGTTTCTGTCTATCAGAAAGGTATCTTCAGTTTCTGCAATACTTAAAAGCCTGGCATGTTGGTTGAATAGCAGGGTTTTCAACAGATGCCCTAGAAAGAAAAGAGAAAAAAGCTAAGTCAAACCTCCAGCTACCTTTTGCCTGAAATGGATGCCACTCACCATCTTCTCTTTCCACGTCTGTGTTTTTTTTTTTTTAAATCCTCTGGTCTACTCATCTCCCAGAATCCCTCTGGTCTACTTATTCTAGCCCCATTTTGTTGCCTTGTTGTAGTGGCTTCGTACATACTGCTGTTATCATCTATCTTCTAGGGGACAGCCTTAGCAGAGTGTTTTTCAAACTTGGCAACTTTAAGATGTGTGGACTTCAGCTCCCAGAATTCCCCAGCTAGGATTCTATCTGGGGAATTCTGGGAGTTGAAGTCCACACATCTTAAAGTTGCCAAGTTTGAAAAACACTGCTTTAGCTGGTGTCTTCTCTCTGATGCCAGGATATTCTATCTGGGGAATTCTGGGAGTTGAAGTCCACACATCTTAAAGTTGCCAAGTTTGAAAAACACTGCTTTAGCTGGTGTCTTCTCTCTGATGCCAGGATGTGAGACAGATTGGTGTCATACAACCTGTGTACCTTATTGCAAATAAAAGTAAGCTGATACAGATAACTCCTCTATTACCACATTCATAGCACGAGATGTGTGACAAGGGAAATCAGACCCTTACTCCTTTAGGAGTAAGATCAGACTCATAATTTATAGACAAAATTTATTTATCTATATTTATAGATAAATAATTGTATTTATTTTTTTTTAAAAGAAAAACAGGTAAAAGATAAAAGGCAAACTCCTTTTTCACTTTAAGTATGCCCGTGCAAACAATTGCTGGAAGAGATAAAAATATAGAGCTATAAAATACAGACATCATCTCAAGAGAATTTCAAGTGCAGGAAAAGAATACTCTGAGCATAGCATTAGATGGTCTTAGTCTGTTTTCTAAACACACAGTCACTGAGTTTGCGTAGAGAAAATACGCATCAAAGGCCGTAAACCTCCATGTTATTCAAATACAAGTAAATTTATGCAACATTTCTAGCTCAGACTTGTTACCTATTCCTTAGAGGTAAACAGATACGTGCAGCAAAGTTTTCTGCTTGCTTGCCCTGGATTTTCCAGATTCTGGTAGATTCCAGTCTTTAAGCTTTAAACAATTGTTATTTATTTGGTCAATTTCTAAAACCAATGACTGGGTGATTTACAGAGCATTAAAAACAATGAAGGATCCAGAATAACAACGACAAACAACAGCACTGAGAAGGCAACTAACCACCATAGCACCATAATTGCAATACCATTTGGGTAGTGTTTCTCAACCTGGGCTGGGGAATTCTGGAAGTTGAAGTCCACACATCTTAAAGTTGCCAAGGTTGAGAAACACTGAATTAGAGGATCACACTCCATCCTTAACCAGTGGGAAGAGCCAGGTCTTTGCTGCCCTCCTAAACGCCAACTGAGGTGGGCTTCCTTAGCTTCTCCTCCTAGCCATAGTATATTGGTTCTCTTCTGGATTTTTTTAAAAAAAGTTTTCCTCTTCAAGAGGGGAAGGCTCAGAGTGGGTCTATTTTTGCTATGTGCTAAAGTAGGCATCTTTCCTCAGGAGGATCTAACGTAAGAAAGATGGGTGTCTATCAGGGACTCTGCAACTGACAATCTGGAGCATTGAGAAGACAGGTTGGCTTCACAACAGCTTGGTTTGCACCATTGTGTTACGCAGATACATCCTAGAGAAATTTAATTGTGGAATATCCTAAGTGTTCAAGCCTTGTTTCTTGTGGCTTGGGATTTCTTGGGCAAGAATCTGTTTCATTTCTCTATGTCTCTGTAATGCTGTGAGTTTTCTGGGACCTCAGAACAGTGGCTAAACACAGCAACACTACTGGGTAAATGCTGCTCCAGCCCAATTGCCTGTAAGAATTTCTTCCATACATTTCCCTGATGAACAGAAGCCCTGCATTGGTCTGTTTCTGCCTACAAAAAGAAAATGCTGTCCAGGCTCTCCTGCCAATGACCCATTTTTCAGCAAAACTCAACTGCCCCCACATTTAAAGAAACTTGTGAGTTGTTTTTTTTTAATGAAAGTGTCCTATCCATAACCTCTTCTCCAAAGACGCATTCAACTTCCCTCCCAAAAGACCTTATCCGAATGGCATCTTTCTTGATTGCTTTGCAATACAGAGTGTTCAGGGATAGATAGCAAAGTTTCTCCCAGTTTAACTAAGACCCACATAAGAGAACAATTAGCAGTTAATGCATTTCTGAGCTGTTGAGAGTCCAAACT